ACATTACAAGCAAGAGAAAACGACAGAGCATTAGCGTAGCAAAGATGAAAGAGAGAAAGCTGACACAGTGACACGTATGTAAGCAGTAGGTCAGGAGTGGCTACCCATGCATGAATGCAAGAGGCCACATGACAACAGCAAGATTAGGGATTTGTCGTGCATTACAACAGTGGGGAATCAGAGTATGTTGTACTCCCATATAACAGCAACAATCCGTGTCTTGACGAGGACTAAGTTGTAGCAGGAGACAACAGACAAGTATGCTATATATATACCTACATCGGATGCTCCACCAGTTGTGACATGTGTACAGGTTAGAGGGTGACACATGTATACCCGTGGTCTGGAGCGCACCTGCAGTCGGATGCGAACTCCACAACGACTCACTATATTTTACCCACACTGGGTTTCCACTCTGCATGACAGAACAAATTCATGTTGCAGCAACTACTATCACAAAACCATGCATGCACGCATATATCCGCTACCATGACGTCTCTACTCGTGCGTTAATCTTAATTAATTTCCTGCTAGTATGAAAATGGAAAATCAAACGAAACAGAACAAAATCTCTACGCCCGTGTTTGGTTGCGAATGCAAGCATGATCAATGATTGATCTTCAGATAAGACGTCCTAATTGTCTCCCTGTCTCTTACAGAGGATCGGCTTTCTGATTTTCTCACTGAGCGCATGGATCCATGAGATGCAAAGGCCTACTACATGAGTAACCTCCAGAGTCCAGACCAGGAGGAGGCAGGACTTCTAAAAGAGTTTGCTGCCATGCGTGTGTGCACATGCGATTGCTATCAAAAGCAAGCCTTCCCGAGGTTTGATTGGTCCCTAATATGGATGGATGGCATGCCAGTCAAGTACAACCGCGGCTGCCCAGGCCCCTCCCACTACATTATTAAGCTCTGCCGACAGTGTTAGTTTCACAGCCTATGTAAAAGTCTTCAGAATTTTCGAAGTCAAATTCAATCCGCCACTGAGTGCTCACCCACACGGCACATGACGACCCATATCTAACCTCTTGTACTCCACATAACCCTTTTACTTAGCATCCCAAGTTTCCTTGCTGGAATAAGCAGCAGACGTCTTTTTTTCCTGAAACACGACAATGTGTTCCCCATCTGAGCACTTCAGACTCGATGGAGGACCCAGGATTAACTCTACCAGGATGGACCTGGGCAAGTAACAAATTTAGGTTCTTGTCATTTCACGTAGCATGTGCTCTGGGATCATAATCAGAATATTCCACTGCCACATGTTAAGTAACTGACGTTCAAAAGTCTAAAGCCCATTCTTACCTTCTAGATTTGCAAGTATTTCCAAGAGCACATATCAAGAACAAAATCTCCAAATGCTTGTTTAACAGAAACGTGGTGAATGCATTGTGTTATGACAATTTTTTTCTATTGTGCATTTGTACCTAATAGCGCATTTCCAAAGGAAAAACATAAACCCTGCTCCCTTTTTTTTCTTTTTTTAAGAAGGACAGTATGGTGGGGCATTTCCAAGCAATAGTCTCAAAAGACAGTGCTTCACATGTATTGTTCTCCAACACTCAACTCAACAGCCAGCAACAGATTCCAGTTCATATTATAAGGCAATATGTAAATCATGGCGGACAGGCAGAGTTACTATTTATTATTGTTCTGCACATGAAAAACAGTCTGCAGATACTGAAGATAGCAACTTACTTGCAGAGTGAGTATGCTACCAAAGGATGCAAGTCCACTTCGACGTCTTTGTCTTAGTGTTGAATAAAGACTCGTCCATAACTCCACTTCATGTCTCCACTTCAAAAAAAATGTCACCTAATTGGACTGCATGTAAATAAAGCAAATTAACGTTTTCCAAATATAGTAAGCACAACTGTGCATAGCTAGCATTACTTCCTGCGATCAGATTGAGCAGAGTAGGCAACCAGGCTGCAATATGTGGTTAAGGATTGTAATAATGTAATCAGCAAACCTTTTATAGTAAATATGCCAATGACAAATGACATGATTCCCTGTAAGCATCTTATTTCCATGCAACTGACTTATAATTAAACTTTTTGAGCTGAAACAAGACATGATGATCTAGTCACAGTTTTCTTATTTATTTCAGGGGTCCAATGCTACAAAAAACTAAGCTGAAAAATACTGTGGTTCTGTTTTGGAGAACTCATGAACAGAGGTTGTGGACTACTTAAGAAAATGAGGACGGCTGGCATGCACATGCTGCCAATGCCACTCCCACATACCCAATTTCAATAATCAGATGAATGTAATTGACACTGCAGATATTAATTTCAGCTGGTACTCTAGAAGTTGAACTAGGCATTTAAGAGATTGAAAGTGCATATGCACTGGTGGTAACTTAGAAAGAAATAAGTAAATTAAGGCATAAAACTCACCTTTTTACGACATTCCTCTCGGTCTTGCGGAAGATGCCACGCTAATATTGCTTCAAATCTCCCAAGTTCCTTTCCTGGCTATGAAAGCAATTTCTTTATGTTCCTTGTTTTAATCCCTAGCCTAAACATTGAATTTCCTGTTAACTTTGGTTTTCCTGATTGCAAATTATACTTCTCGTGCACACCTGAAGCTCTCCTTTTCATGTATTCAGCAGACTGTGTCTGAACTGTCACAGCAGAAGTAAATGGCATCAGAAAGCTATATCGAAAATATACTCAAACAGTAGGAAGATACAAGAGAAGATTTGGTGTCACAATAGGTCCCCAAATCTCCCAGATAATAGATGGCATGTTTGAGACAACCAAAAAAAAAACATTAGTTACTCAATCATAAAGGAAGACATACATTCAGTCAGATTGGACCTCTGTTGATTAAACATGTATCACTCTTTCATTTACTCAACTTAAGAAGATGAAGGCAAATTTAGTTTCTCTGCACTTATTTTACTTGAAAAGTTAAGGCAAGATCAGTTTCTCTGCATGTAATTTAAGCAATCCATGGCATTGAAAACTCACCAGAATGCTGTGCAGATAATGACTTGGCCAAGTTCTGGAGTCCTGTTATATCATTGATCTTGTCCTTCTCCTCAATGGCATTAGCAGAGTCCAAGTGCCCTGGGTGGCTTGGATGAATGTGCCCAAGAGCATCTGCAAAAGCCTGAATTAGTTACAATAAAATGTAAGCCAATGTCATTCTCCACAGTACTCTATTAATTTGTGCTCAGATGTACATCCATAAACATTAGTGCATTAGTAGCAATATACAGTACAGTCATCAAGCAACCTTCATTGCTTACCTCAGACAGAGCAAAAAAATGGTACTTGTCCATTTGAATGACAAAAATCCTTCACCCATTAGAGAAAATATGAATTTGAAGTAGTATTTACTGATAGAGTTTTTTTTCCCCCGAAAGGACTGATAGAGTTATTTCAACAATTATTTCTGAAATGATTGAGACTTAGTTTTCCCCTTAGTATTAATTATATCATACCAGCAGTTTGATTATCAGAGTGGCATAAAAAACTTACACAGGAGCAGTAAACTCTCGAGCACATGGAATTGCCTAAAACTAGTAATCAAAGAGAGATAATAATGTAAAGCAGGCAAGCAGGTAAGAGAGGAAGGCTTCGATACATTTGTTAGATCTTCAGGTTAAACAAACTACAGTAAGCCTGCTTCAAACTTCCAGAACTATCGGATTGTGCTCTTCACACCATTGAACCTAATAGCTTAGTCCGAACATGCCAATAAAAAAGAACAGTAAAGGGCCATTTCCTACAACAAAGGTTGCAGCTCAATAAAACTACCTTGGAGGCAATGGTGTAGAAGCCATTATCAAGAGAGTCCTTTGCGAAAGTGAACCACTCCTGACGGGACACTTGCAAGTGAAGATCGTTGCAGTATTTAGCGTCTCGAAGCAACAGGGCCTCGTATCTCATGGCAAGGCAGCTCTGTCAGTGTACATGAGGAGTAACAGTATTAGCAGAGAAAAACGCAGCGCATGCTCTGGGTTTCTGCAAACATTCAAGTCTGAGTAAAACAAATGACTAACGCACGTTGGTTGATGAATTTGAGTGTTGCTTGCGAGTGTGTATGAAACATGCTGCAAACATCTAAAATAAAATGCTGCAAGCCTGCAATTAGGAACGTATACTGAACTGAAGCACGACAACCGCGGGGGCCTAAAATCAGAGTAAAACCCCAGGTAATGCGCACGGACTAGCGATAGCAGTGCATAATAATCTGCACACCGTATGCGCCAACAACTAATTTGGCTGGTGCTGACCTCGACATCGCCTACGAGCGCGAAGGCGCGTGAAAAGAAGTCAGCGACGGCGAGGCTGGTCCCACCATCCATCACTGAACCCGTCGCGGTGAACGCGAATGCCTCCGCCGCGCTTGCTTGCAGCAGACTCCGGGCCGCCGAGCGCGTGGCGAGCAGCGCGGGGACGTCAGCGCCGGCGGACAGCGCGGCCTCCAGCACCCGGAGGTCCTCGTCCCCGAACCTGCAGCGCACTCGCACCGAGTCAGGGGCGGCGGGAGGGAGGTCGAAAGGTGAGCGAAAAGGTCGCAGAGGTCGCGCGGTTGGGTGCGGCAGGTGGGTTGGGGCAGACGCGCGGCCGCGGCGTAGTACCTGCGACAGGAGAGGCGGGAGGCGAAGAGAGCGAGCGAGGAGGGCGTCGCTGCGTTTCCATCCTGCTCCGCCATCGCCGGCGGCATCGTCCCTTTTTTTTTTTTATTTGGTTTTATTTCGAAATGAAAAACGCTCGCCGTCGCCGGAGATGGATGGCACGAGAATGAGGAATTTTTTGTGGTGGGCGTGGGCTCTGAGCTTGTTGAACTAAAAATGGGCCGGGCCGGGCCATCAACGGAAATGGTAGAGGCACGGGCACTGGCAGGCTGGGGAGTGGGGAGGGACCATCATTGTAGTTGTTGTAGCTGTTTCTCCGCCTAGTGAAGATCAACATCGACACAGCAATATCCAAGAACACAAGGACGGCATCGACTGCAGCTGTGGCCAGGGACGAGAGGACGAGATGGGCAATTTTCTGGGAGTCTCGGCCCTTGTTCTAAAAGGCATAGACGAAGCAGTAGAGGTGGCCGAAGCAATAGCATGCCGAGAAGAGTTATCGCTTCCTAGCGATCTTGGGTTGCAGTCCAATGAGATTTTGGCAAGTGACTATGCAAACGCTGTGAGAAGTATCCAAGGTGAGGCTTTGGGAGATTAGGAACAATCATCCTGGAGATCAAGGGACTGATTGATTGGCTACCAATTTTTGTCCTACTAAAATCATGGCAAGCCAAAATTTAAGCTTGCCAAAATTAAGGTTGCCAAAGTTAGGAAAAAAAACATAGGTGTGCATTTGGTTGATTGTCATAACAATAATAGGAAGCACATTTTCTCTTTTATGCAGTTTAATAACTTTCTAGAGACTTGCCAAAACTTTGGTCATAAACATCGGTGCGCCAATTCTTTGACAACGAACCAATTGATGACTAAAAATTTTGGCATGCCATGGTTTTGGTTGGACAAGAATTAGAAGCCAACCAATCAGACCCGAAATCAAGAAGAGATTTTTTTTGAAATGTCATGGGGGGGGGATTGTCCTCCACCTGAATTTTATTTCAGAACTTGGAGGTACAGATTACATTTGTTCTGCCACAAAACGTTGTGGCGGAGGGAGTGATGATGATGCCGCAGCTCTCAGCCCCGTGGCAGCCCCGGCCTCCAAGCGTAGCCTCATGTCCTCGCTCATGGACGCCACCGCGCTGCTCCGCTCCCCCTCCTTCAAGGAGGACTCGTACGTCGCCGCCGCGCTCCCGTCGTCTGAGCTCAGTGCGCTCGCCGACCTCAAGGTGCTGCTCGCCACCCACCCAGACCCCATTTCCATTTGGGGCGTCCCACTGAACCCCCACTCTCCTCCCGCCGTGGCGGACGACGCTGCCCCCGCCCCGGTCGACGAGCGCGCCGACGTGGTGCTCCTCAAGTTCCTCCGCGCGCGGGACTTCCGCGTCCGCGATGCGCACGCCATGCTGCTCCGCTGCGCCGCCTGGCGCGCCGAGTTCGGCGGCAACGCCGTGCTGGACGGGCACCTGGGCTTCAAGAAGAGAAAGTTTTAGCAAGGTGAAGTTTGCTCATGAAGGAATACAGTTCAATCATGAAGCTCATTTGTTAGCTATGAGTTCAGTTAGCTTATCCTTTGGTCCAGAGCGCGCGTGAGGTCTCCACACGCACTGCCTAGTCCGCTTGTGCTACCGCTGGGTGCAGGGTGCTGGTACACTGGTCGTGCATGCATGTGAGTACTCCTCTGCTTTGGCAGCCTCCACTTTTTGATTTCCCTTGGAATTTTGTGTGCGCTTTCGCTACCAAGAATCTCCCTCATCTTATCTCCTTGTCCTAGCTCGGCCACTCTTTCTTGCAATCTCTCTTGCTCGGTCGTAGATGGAGGATATGCTGTTTGGGTCATCATCAGGCGTGTGCCCGCCACACGACTTTTTTTTTTTACGTCATGTTTGTTGAAATAAAGGTGCTACAACTACAAGTCTCATCGTTATCCTTTGGACCAGATGGAGCTTAAGCATTGCCTGATCTAAATAATTCGGTTTATAATCAAGCTTACCGCCTATTTTGAACTATCTGACAAACCACACACCGATATAGACCTTGTATTGTAAAGAAAAGCTACGATCTAACTCTCCTTAGATTCAGGTTGGGAGGAAGACCTACTGTGTTATGCAATTTAAAGGAAATACAGTGCAATTTCAGAGGTCTGTCATGTGCTTTGATCAGGGGCAAGGATAGACCTGTAGCAAGCATCAAGATTGACTAAAGGAACCCCCCGGTGTGCAGCGGAAAGATTAAAAGGTAAGGCACCCCAGGCCATTTTTTTTCTCGATCACGCAAAAGGTTTGCGCGTCTTTGTATTAAGATAGAGAAAAATTTTAATACAACACGCCTTAGCAGCACCCTAGGGGATCACAAGAGTTGCACATAGACGCTCAGACCCACCCTAGTATACTGAAATCTACATTGTATTGCCACATTGTGCAACTCTTTAATTAGCTGGCCAAATTGACAAGTGCATCATCAATCTTTTTTTTTTACTAAAAATGATTCCTTTCCGGTCCTCTGACAAACGAGTTTTGCGAAACAACCAAATTGTTACACGCCGATGCTCAATTCGCAAATGAGATAGGCATCCTGCATAGTTGCGTTGTAATTGAGAAGACACATCCAAATGAAAACCAACAGCCGTGGTGAAAACAGAGTATTGAACCAACACGTGGAATCTGAAAAACAAAATTACTTGCACTTCCAGTATATGCATACAGAGAAAACATCCATCGATGTGAGGAAGTTAAAGATAAAAACATGAAAATGAGGAAGTCAAAGATAAAAACATCATTTGTAGGAACTTCTTGTTTTAATCTCTGCACAATTTGGTTTTGAGTCTAAATTACTTTAACTTTTAAGATATGAGGGGAAAAAGATAAGGGTGTGTCTCCTGCACAGGTGACTGATAGCAAAACATCAGTCATCTTCAACCTCGCCCCCCCCCCCCTGCCTCGTTGGTGGCCTCGCCTTCTTCCTCCTCCTCGCGTCCCCACCCGCTTCTTCTTCCTCCTCACGCCCACCCCTTTGCCTTCTGCCTCCGGGCGGCCAAGCCCTCCTCCTCGTCCTCGCCCCCCACCATGGCACGGGCTAGGGTTTCACCAAGCTCATGGCTCCACCGCCCCACTGGCGGCGGGCTAGGGGTTTCAGCAGAGGCTCGGCCATGAGCTCGGGCGAAACCCTAGCGCGCCCGCGGTGGCCGCCTTCTTCCCCTTCCACCCTCCTTCTTCCACGGCGAGCTCAGGCCATGGACGCCCTTGCCCCGATCTGGCCCGGCCGCCAGGCCCCTAAGCCACCCTCCCGCTGTCCCCACCGCCTGGCCAGCCTGCCTCCTCCCGAACCCCCTTCTATGCTCGGAGAAGAAGAGAGGGAGAGCGCGGGAGCGGGAGATGCTTGAACCCTAACGTCGGCAAGGTCTCCATCTCCGTCCTTGCCGCTGTCTTCTTCCTCTCCGGCAGGGAGCAGGCGCGGGCGTATCGACTGACTGGTAAACAAAATTGTAGTCGCTTGCGTTTGAGTATATCTGGAAAATAAACCCCAAATTGTCTCCTCATTTTTCTTTGGAATGCATTTTGTTCGAATGTGGCAATATAATGAAATATATATTATTTTCATTTTCATAGCAGACATGAAAAACAAAGGTGACTCGCAAATAGCACTCCTATGATTATTCTAGGAATTTAGGCTTACATATGACATGACAGGTACATATACTCTATATGTAGTATTTATTAAAAAGATTTTTTTTTTTTAAAAAACTAATAACAAGATTTAAAATTTTCTATATACCAAAGAAAAACTAAAATTGAAGACCGCCAAAATAGGCCGCCTCCCCAGTGAACCATCCAAAAATATCCCCCCGCCCGTGCGCAGTGGACGGAAGGGCGCTCGCCCGCCACGAGCCCTCCACGCGCTCCCTCCGTCGCCTCCAAATCCCAGCCGTCCACGTGTCTCCAATCCGCGAGCCCCACGCGCCTATATCTATTCTTTTCCTCCCTCCCCCATCCTCCTCCTCCTTCACTCCCTTCCATCCGCTTCCGCCACCGCCGCCCAGAATTCACGCGAACGCGCCCGCACACCTTCCTCCTCCAATCCTCCTCCTCCTTCAGTCCCAAACGATGCTTAGGGTTTCACCGTCCCCGGCCGCCGCCGCCGCCGCCGCTAACCAGCTCGCTGGTGCGGGCGTGACCCCGGCTCCCGTCAGGGTGGCGGCGCCGCGCGGCGTCGGCTCGCCTTCGGCTGCCGCCGCGTGCAGGGCCGCCGGGAAGGGGAAGGAGGTGCTCAGCGGGGTGGTTTTCCAGCCGTTCGAGGAGATCAAGGGCGAGCTCGCCCTCGTGCCCCAGACGCCCGACAAGTCCCTCGCCAGACAGAAGTTCGTCGACGAGTGCGAGGCCGCCCTCAACGAACAGATCAAGTACTAAATACCTCACTGCTCTGCTCACTCCTCCTCCTCCTCCTCCTGTCCTCCTTGCTTTTCGATTTCGGGCGAATATCTGGGCAATTGGTACATTATACGGCTTAATATTAGATTATTAGTTTCAGCTGTCAATCATTGCAGCCGTGTCTGCAAATCTGCAATTTGACTTGAGTACAACCAAATGTTTCATCAATTTGACTCTGGAATCTCTGGTCGTGCAGTGTGGAGTACAATGCCTCGTATGCGTACCACTCCCTCTTCGCCTACTTCGACCGCGACAACGTGGCTCTCAAAGGATTTGCCAAGTGAGTCGCCTCCTCTCACCAAGTTCAGTTATCCATCTGTAAATAAATCACAGCATTGCCATTTTATCATTTCCTCTGTAATAATGATGTGGTTCTGCACATTTGTTCCTCCAGGTTCTTTAAGGAATCAAGCGACGAGGAGAGGGAGCATGCTGAGAAGCTCATGGAGTACCAGGTATCATTTGGTCCTCTAATTTCTTTGACTCTTTGGCAGCGGCGGAGGGTGGATAAAGAGCAAGGAGGGGCTGATTGGTAAAAACTATTGTGGTATTAGCTAACTGCAGAAACTACAACTGTTTTATAGGCTATTAACACTAGGATTATACACTACCAATAGTAGTGCTGTCACAGAGGAAGGGGGGCGGAGGCCCAGTTTCGCCTCCATGAGCCTCCGCCCCTGCTCTTTGGTCCGTTCCATTGCACTATGCTACATATTGGGGTACTGACACAACACTGGATATGTTTTTTGTGCCATCAGAACAAACGTGGAGGCAGGGTGAGGCTCCAATCGATTGTGACGCCCTTGACCGAATTTGACCACCCTGAGAAAGGCGATGCTTTGTACTGTGAGTTGATGCGCATTTCCTTCTTGTTTGCCGAGTCTGACCTCTGGATTAGGATGGGGTCTGAATGTCAAGTGCCTCAGAGGAGTCTGCATGTGTGTGGTACAGCAGAGGAAGTAACAAAAGCCCACTGTTGTCAAAAAGTGGAATTTGTTCTGCAACTGAACCTAGTTGTATGAGTTGCAGCTTTCAGTATATGGATGGATGGATGATAGATTGAAAGACTAGTAGTGATTAACAGTTTAACACGACTTATATAGAAATAGAAGGCTGGCTATTGTTAGTAAATGTTGATTGGGTATCAGCTAGGTTGGTCTTTTGTAGTTTTGTTCATGTTTGGCATATTTGGAAGCTAATCTGGTAGCTATGTTTTGATCTGTGCCTCTTGATTGATTTCAGCTATGGAGCTGGCTCTGGCTCTGGAAAAGCTGGTTAATGAGAAGCTGCACAACCTGCATGGTGTAAGTTGCTTTCAGTCACATGCTTATTTGTGGAGAAATATTGTGAGCTTTGCTTAAGACATACTTAAAACATTTATGGGCATATATAAATTGATTAACTTGAGTCACTACATGTTGTTTGTACAATTGTGCCACGTACAATTTCTAATGAGTTTTCACCTGTAATTAACAGGTGGCAACAAGGTGCAATGATCCTCAGCTGACAGACTTCATCGAGAGTGAGTTCCTCGAGGAGCAGGTAAATTCAACCAAAGCATATGTTCCATATGGAACAAAATTATGCAGAACAAAATTTGATTCAATTTTGTTTTTGCTCTACTTACGACGCAATTCTTAGCTGAACGAAAATTTTGTATTTTCTTTTGAAAGGTGGAAGTCATAAATAAGATCTCCAAGTATGTCGCCCAGCTGAGGAGAGTGGGCAAGGGGCACGGTTAGTCTGTCGCTGAACTTTGGTTTCATCTGCTATGTCTCGTGCCTAAACTTACACCTAGTTGATATTGTTGAGGTGTGATTTGCGGGCAGGGGTGTGGCACTTTGATCAGATGCTGCTTGAGGAAGAGGCCTAAAGGACGGACGGACTGTGGCTGCTCAAGGACTAAGGGCCTGAAGGAAGGAAAGAAGTGTGAAATGATCAGGTTGGGGAATAATGGGCGGCATGGACCAGCTGAGGAAGCCCTGGGTGTAGGTGGATTGTGGAGTTTTTTTTTTCCCCAGTTGGTTAGGGTTTTAGTTGTAGAAACGGTGTTGCCCTCCTACAGAGAACATAATGCACTGAAATGCAGTAGAGCATGTGATATTATTATTGCTGCCGTCAGTTTGGGGTGCTTATTGTGAGACGTTACCCTTTGGGATTTTGATTGTTTGAAATAAAACATGGCCATGAATGTGTGCTCTGATATTACCTTGCTGTGACTTTGCGAGCACCGAGGAGATGATCGTCGTTAGTATACTGTGTAAAGAGACGTGGAGGATTATTTCTTATTTGTAAATCTGAAGGTAATCCGTCAGAACTGGTGGCTATTTACTATCCAGGCAACAAGCTCTTTTGAAGGCCACTTGAAGCACCCAACCAGTTGTTCTGATGATTGTTGTTTGTGAATTGATGTGGTATGCCCTGTCTTCGGTCTGCTAAATTGTGCCATTCTTTCTCTTTTTTTCCAGTTCTTGATTTTTTTCTGAATCTAGTGGCTGCAATTGATAGATTAAAAAAAAAATCTTCCCTATAGTTCTGCTCTTGGGCACGTCCATTTCTACAGGTTCTGCAAGGAATCGGGTGATGAGGAGAGGAGCATGCTGAAAAGCTGAGGAAGTACCTAGTACTACATCATTGCCCCTAACTGCTGTGATCATTTGGTTACTGATGTTGTGTGGCATGTTCTTGTGCTCTAGAACAAACGTGGTGGGAAGGTGAGGATCCAGACATCCAAGTCCATTGCGACACCCTTGACAGAGTTTGATCACCCTGAGGAAGGCGATGCTTTGTACGCTGAGTAGCTTTGTGGTACCGGGACTTTTCTACGTCCTTTCTTGATAGTACTGTATGTAGTTGATGGCTGCTTCCGTACACGTACGTTTTGCTGTATGTTTCCGGGCTTCTGATGGGGCATCTGAAAAATAAACTGTGAGGAGGCTGCATGTTTGTGATATATCAGGGAAGTAACAGAAAGTTCGCTATTGTTGCAAAATTGAATTTTTCTGTTCCCTCCAAATAAGAATATTCTCTTCTCTATTAATAGTACATGCTTGGAAGGGAAAGAAAGAAGAATATTCAATAGAAAAATTGATAGTGTTTAGCATGCCTCATCATAGAGTAGAAGCTTGTTATTTTAGTAAATCTTTTGGGTGTCAGTTATGTGTCTAGTCTTCGCAGATCAGTACTAGCCTACTAGGAACCTAGATTGGCCTTCTGTTCATGTGTGATATATATCAGGAGTTTTTATTTAGCACGCACTAATATGGTAGCTCTGTTTCAATCTGCACCTCTTTTCTGATTGCAGCTATGGAGTTGGCTCTGGTTCTTGAAAAGCTGGTTAATAAGAAGCTAAGCTACACAACCTGCAGAGTGTAAGTTACCCTTAACAGCATTACGCGCTTACAGATAAATATTGTGTGCTTCAGGAGCACCCAAAACTGATTTAATTGAGCAAAAGTAGAAGCAATACATACAGCTTGTAACGAGTTTCCGTTCATAATTAACAGGTGGCAACAAAGGTGCAATGATCCTCAACTGACCGACTTCATCGAGATTGAGCTTCTTCAGGAGCAGGTAAATCCACCAACTACATTAGTTTGTTCATGGTAGCAGAACCTGCATCATTTTTTTATTGAGACTTTGTAAAGAGATGCGGAGGATTGCTTCTTGTGATGTAAATCTGAAGCTACCTCGTCACAACTGGTGCCTACTTACTTTCCAGGCAACTCACAAGCTCTTTTGAAGACCACTTGAAGCATCCGTATCCAGTTGTGTTGATGTTGTCTGCAAATTCAAATATGCATGCTGGAATCGTTTGGGCTTTGGCGTTGGGCCGATGGACTTAAAAAGACAATGCAGGCCCCCTTTTTTCTTGTTGATGAGAAGAAGTAAAATTCAGTCCCGTTGTATGTATTACCTTAGTATGACTCCAAGTTGAAGACTAGTTTTGCGACCGTCGTTATGCAAACACTAGTTGGAGTACAAATTTTGGCTATTGCATTTCACTGCACGTAGCCCAGTCTTCCCCAGGCCCAACAAGAATAATTAGGCCCATGTGTCATGGTACAGTTGGCCCACTTTGCGAACCAGATGTTCCTTTTTTTGGCGCCTGCAAGGAAAGCACAAATTTCCAGATACTGCCAAGTGGGTCCATGGTCTATCTGTCAACCCCACCAGAAGCTACGCCTCTACCCACCGGGCTGCCTCCTCGGCAAACAAGAAGTCCAGCGACACAACGACCGCCAATCTCTCTCGCACTCGTCGTTCGTCCTCAAGACGCTAGGCCAGAGCCAGACCGGAGCTAAAGCAGAGCGGAGGTCTCATTGCCCGGGCATCGAATCCAGCTCCAAGTTAAGTTCTCTTCCCCTAAATCTGGCCTGGGTCATCACTCACCTCTTCCCCTGCAATAAAACTAGATAAGTTTGACTTAAGATAAAACTAAAACAAATTATAATTTAGGACTGAGGGAGTACAAAAGAAGGACAACTTAACCCAAAACGATATCTTAAAAAAAATTTACGCCAAAGACTTTTCTAGTCGTCTTCTTGCTTGGATTGCTCGTCACTCGCCAGAGCTTATACGAATTGAAAGTTGTATCATTTTGACTTCAATTACTTTCTCTAGTAGCTTGCACATTCTTTCTTATGGTGACATGGATCTGCCCCATATTCCTTGGGGGCAGATCTTGGGATTGCAGGGTCAGATTCGGAACATGAGTTCAACCATGATGGGTAGCGGTGGGCATAATTAACTAAAACCGAAGAACCAAACGGAAAGAACTGGAACCAAAACCGAAAGAACCGGAACCGAAAAAAATCGGTTCCCTATTTGGTTCCAGATATCATGGAACCGAAATAACCAAAGAAAGTTCGGTTTCTACTCTCAGATAACCGAATTAACCGAAACAACCAAAATACATGAATTGTGCTTCACTTACATGCATTTTGTACGATTATGTTTGGTTTTATGTGTGATGTCTCATATTTAAACTAATGTATTGGTCTTACTATATTGCTATTGTTCTCTTATCAATTATTATTATCTAAAATAGAGGTAGTGTTGCCCAAATTTTCTTTAGAACCTGCATATTTTTTTTTGTTGTCTTAACCTCTGCTTAAAAGTTCAGTTAGTTCAGTTAGAACCAGAACCGAATCGAAAGCCCAAATGCTCGGTTCCTAGAATTTCTCAGAACCGATCGGTTCCTATTTTCTTGGAACCAAATTTCTTCAAATACCGAAGAATCGAACCGAAAACCGAATGCCCATCCCTAACGATGGGTGGTATGACTGAAGATGGCATTGCTTCACTTGGGAATGCCTATGGAGGAGACGTCAAGGTTGTGGAGGAGACCCGATGCCCTAGCTACCGCTACGTAGGATTTTCTTTTCTATTCGATTAGCCCATGATGCTTGTATCAAATTCATATTTCCATATTATTTTAGGATGTAACATGTTATTATACATTGTTTATCGATATATGGATGTGATACTATGCTGAGATGAGCTCTGTACGTGATAGCTGTTAGTTCTGGGACTACCACAATGGTACAGAGAGTCGAGTTCTTGGTAAGAGAACCCGATTCATTTTAGTGCATGCGTCCATCCGAGAACTGATTTTCTTGGGACTTGGGACGTGAAGTCCCTATAATTTGGTCGCCAACACATTGTCAACATATATTTTTGACTACTTGGTACCGAAGTTGTAGAGCTCGATGAAATATACGACTTTCGTAATTGATGACTTTTTTCCATTGAGGTTGCTTAGAGTATACCAAATAAATACGCAACTCAAAGTTGAGAGGTAAATACAAAAGAATAATATCCCTTATCTAGTGAAGAAGTGATATGTATGTGTGATGGTAAGAAGGCTATGCATGGAGCAAGAGGTCTTAGGTTCGGATCCTAGGAAACGCATGAGTGCGTCGCGTGTAGATGCCTCCTAAAAATGGCTCTTTATTCTGCCATCAAGGGCACCAAAGCATTTAGATATATTCCTAGCCCGACTGCAAGGAAGCAAAATGTACTATTCAAGCATTGTCGGTGTTTCGGACCGGGGGTCCTCTACCAACTAGTGAATTTGAACTGCGTGCCCCTAATCCCGGATGGTGATGCAAAGAGACACAAGGTTTATACTGGTTCAGGCAATCGATGCCCTACGTCCAGTCTGAGAGATCAATCTTGTATTCCTTGCACCGAAGTGCTAGTAGTAGAGGGTTACAAGCACAGGGAGAGAGGGAGCTAATCCTCGGTCTCGGCGAGGTGTCGTGTGGGCTGCTTGAGACGTTGCTCTCAGGCGGCTGGGATGTGTATGTGTGTGAGCTACCAGGTCTTCTCCCCATTTTCCTTTCCTAAGGGGCCCAAGTCCTCTCCTTTTATAGTTGAAGGGAGGACAAGGACAAGACATGTGCCGACTTGACTATCTGGCGTGCCAACAGGGGCGTGTGTCCGAGCCCACGTGGCTCTGCTCTGGCGGGCGTGGTCGCCGGAGTGGTCCGTCCTTGAGCACTTTGGGCGACGTCTTTGGTCACGTCCGACCACAATGCATCATGGGAGCTTCCAGGCTACCTCGAGGCAGTCTTGCGGCGCCGTGACGCGGATCGCCGTGGATTGGCGTAGCGCTGTGAGGCCGAGGCTTTGTCGCTGCCGAGGTCCGCACTGATGGGGGGTCTCGTGAGCACGAACCCCAGATAGCCGAGACCTTGATGTATAGTGCCGAGGCTCCGAGAGGCGGGCCGATCTGGCGCTACCGGCTTGAGGCGGTGATGACCGGGCCAAGTAGTCCGCGCGATGTTGTTTTCGAGGCGGGATCGCGGGCAGCAGGCATCTGATGGGTGCCGATCGTGGGCATGTTGTCGAACACAAGGATGGCCGTAATCCCAAATGTATGGGCACAAAGGTATTGTGGGCGTTGATGCGACCTCGTGTCCGTCGGTCATTCTGCGGGTGTCAAGCCATCGTCCTACCGAGATTGCAGGGAGTGGTTGAAGTATTAATGGGACATGACATGCTGTCAGGAGGGTCGGTCGCAGCGGGGGCGACGGTCTATGGATAAGCTGGCCTCGCGCAATACGGAGAATGAGGCCTAACGTGAGACGGAGGGCGGAGCCTTGCGCGAGACGGAGATCGGACTCCTTGCCGAGGCCTTCCGTGAAGAGCCTCGCGCGAGGCGGAGATTGCGTCAGGACGCCGAGACCTTCTGCGCGAGGCTCGAGATGAGGCGGAGAGCCTGGCGGGCTCGGACGTGGCGGGTGAGGGGCCCACGGCTTACCTTCTAGCTTTGTATTTTGATGGGACTTAAGTGCCCCCTTTGATGTTCGCTCGGGGTACCCCGTCCTAAGGTACCCGACGAGAATCGGCATCAGCGAAAGGGCCTCGGCGAGAGGGCTTCGGCGAGAGGGCCTCGGCGGGGCGAATCGGAGAATCGGCCGAGGCCCTCGTGGTTGTCCTTCGGCTTTGATACTTGTAAGGTCTAAGCAATCTTTTCGGTTCTTGCTTAGGGTACCCCTTTTTATGGTATCCGACAAGCATATAAAGGGAATTAAGGCTGCCAAAGAAAAGCATAAAGGAATGGCAATACAACTGTCAATTAGCTAAGAATAAATTCATTTGTGATAACCCAATGCATAAACGCCTAGGCCGTTGAGAATAAATTCATTTGTGACAACCCAATGCTTAAATGTCTAGGCCACTGAGAATAAATTCATTTGTGATAAACCAACCTCCTGTCGACCATGGCATGATCATATTATGTCCTCCTCCAATAGGGTGGGGATGTCGCTAGCGGACGTGGAGGAGAAAGAAGGCACAGATGCAGGCAAGTGCTTCGGGAAATGTGCGGAGAGAGGAAGAGGGAGGGGATGCATATGGAAACGTGCGAGACCGGCGCTTCGTTTCGCACTAGCGTGCTGCTTTTTTTTTGCATTGTTCATGAGTAAAAATTATTATTTTGACTAGCGACGTCGCTAGCCGTTGGAGGAGGCCTCTGCCTCGAACTCAGCCTCAGTCAGATCACGCCGAATCCAAATATATGCCATCCGAAAAAAATACGATCACTATATACAACTGTCATAATGGCGTATTCTCTAAGCGAAAGATTTGGATGCACCTTGGCCGGCATTCGCATAATCTAAATATATGCCATCCGTCGTACGAATAAACATGATGTTTGCACATTTTTCCTTATGGACAGGGGGGTGACGGTGTTCTCAAACCGTATAGAACGGTGGCAGCTCAGACCCGGCGATCACATCTACGCCTGGTTTTTTTAAAAAATCATTCCCTACTCTCATCATGGTACCTAAATGGAAGAAGCGTACATTTATGATTTATTAAAAAGAAAAGAGGGCGGAGGTTGGTTTAGATTTGTCCTGATGAGTGCACGAATCCCAAGGTATACAATGTTGGCGTTGTACACAAGCGATTTTGCACTCGGGCGTTGCTGTTGGCAGGATTTGGTTTTGGGATTAAGTACTAACAAAAAGTAGTAACTCTTTCGTCTCTCAATCTCTCTCTCTCTCTATTAACTTGAGCGTAGTACATACAGGAATCTACGAAAGCAACGACAAGGTGATCCACTTCACCAACAATGCGCAGTCTGCCTCCTCTGGCTTTTCAGTGTCGTCGTCATCGTCCTCGTCGTCGTCGTCGTCGTCCTCCTCCTCCTTTCCGTTCTGCTGGAAGTGCCGCGATGCTATGCGTGAAGGCGGTGTTGTCGCCTGCTGCCTTGACTGCTTCCTAGAAGGAAATAATCTTCACCTCTTCGCCTACTCGGTGCCTGAGTGGTTCTGGACACGGAGCAATATTGGTGTTCAAGACACCTGCTTCATGTTACCTGAAGAGCACCCCGAGAAGGTCTTGTACGTCGCCAACAACCTGCTTCACCACAGCGACTTCGGCACTTATGACCTTACGCTCAATAACTGCTTCGACTTTGCCTTTTACTGCAAGACAGGACGCCGTTATCGTTTATCAGCAGAGTTGCTTCTTGACCCCTCGATGTCTCCGCGAGACGTGCGCCCCCCAAGGGCATGTACAATCATGTAGAGATATAGCCATACGGCTCTTGTCTACCATATCATACTAGTGGATGGCCGCGCGCCCCTGCGCGCAATCAAGTGACGTTGGAAGGTGTTTGGGATGATAATAGCTATGTCTAATATTGGATGTAACGGTGCACAACACTATAGTCTATACAGACTAAATTCTAATGCATAGAAAGATATGACATGCATCCTATCATGCAAAAGAAAGAGAGATTTAAATGCAAGGAGAAATAGAAGTGTTGTGACCCAAAAACGTAATGCCCAAAAATCACGTGCAGCATACCTGGTGGGTTTGCCGCAGTCCGACATGGATCAGCATATAGTTGAGGGCAGCAGGAAAATTATATTATGATCTAGATATGACAGTTCCGCAAGTGACCCAACTCCATAATAATTTGCAAAGGGACAAGCTGTGTGACTTAAGAAGGTAAAAACTAATAAGTAGAGAACACCTAGAATCTTCTCAAGAAAGGAACAAACATTATCAGGTAGATGTTACAAATGTATGGAAGTTCCTTCTTTGCTGCCTAAACCCCTCAGCCACCCACAAAACACGAGAAAAATATTCAGGCCTAGTTCGTTCGGAACCCATAGCTTTTCTATGCTATAAAATTGAAATCCAGGAACAGATCGAACCTTGTGTAATAGTACGTAGCTTACATTTAATTTGAAGAATGCAGTAGTCAGTATACCAGCTAACTAATATACAAAGCTGATGGAAGGCATACATCAAACCACATATCATATGAAATCAGTATTAGTACAAACTATAAAATGTGAAAATTTATTTAGGTCTGTCACATTCCAGGTCATACACGTTTCATTTAAGGATTTTCACTTTGCTACTGGGAAAACCTCCACCACCACCTTGTTTTCAAAAAGCTGGAACCTGATTTTTGTTTATCCCCAAGGCACTAAAGGTAGTCATAGAATAATCTTTCAAGGATATGAAGTAATTGTTTTTTCATCTAGAATGAGAGTTTTTTTAGTAGCATGCACACTGTACTATGAAGCCCTCGTCACAATATATCTTTGTATCGTCTATAAATTTAACACATACACCGAACCATGGGCACATATAAACAGAGAATGCCATATTGGTGCATATAGGAGCAGTAGCAGAACTAAACAGAGTGTTATCACCTTTTGGCAGCCGGAGAAGTGAGACAGAGCAGAGGAGAAGCCAGCCGCTTCGAAGAGAATCCGGGCAGAAGCCGCTTCAAAAAAATCTGGCGGGGACAAGCTGAGCCATCGGTGGAGGAGATTGGACGGCTGGGACAATTTAGGGCGACGTGGATGGTGCTTCTACCCTAGAAGCTGACGCGGTTTACAGGAATAAATAAATTAGACCAGATTGGAAATAAACTTAAGATTAGATGAACTTCCAAAGCAAGAAAACAATGACCTTTGCTGTGCTTCTTCTTCAGGCATGCAGGCACCCCACTTGAGTTCACATAACACCAGTGCAATAATTAAGATGTATCGAAAATTCGAAGGAACAGGAGAACCAAAATCTTGACGATGTAATCATTGGGAATAGGGCATGTGCTCAGAGCCAACAACATATAACTTGACGTCAGAAAGCGACGATCACAAGCAAGGATCATAAGGCTAGAAAGAACAAGAATATATGTATCAGTTCACAGGCAGTAAATAACAGAAGCTCAGATTGCACAAACGTGTGTATCGACATCACAGACAATGATCATAAGCAAGCATGAGCGGAAAACGAAAGGCAATCATCAGCAGGCAGCGTCATCAGAAGCTGCGATTTCATAACTAAGAGATAATTGCAGCCGCCTAGTCTGTCACTGGATAGGCAATAAAAATTACCCCTCACTGGTGTCTCCAAACAACACAAATTTGAACAGGTAGGAAGAGATGCATAAAAAAACAGGAACCACCACCATCGCCTCAATTACCACAGAATAGTATGTGACTCGATAGACAATAAAAATTACCCCTCACTGGTGTCTCCAAACAACACAAATTCGAACAGGTACGAAGAGATGCATAAAAAACAGGAACAACCACCGTGGCCTTAATTACCACGGAACAGTTGGCAAAAAAAATAGAATTTAACAGCCTATGATCATTGCCTGAGTTATGGACATAGCAGAGAGATGTAAAACGAAGGAAGAATCATCATAGCTCATGAGCATCGCCTTATTAGTTATGAAAAAGAAGGAGGAGATGTAGACCATGGAAAGATAGCCCATGATCATTGCATCAAACACTACAATAATCATCACTGCAGTAGCCCATTCCCTCAAAGTAAAACGTAGCAGGAAGAGAAAAGTGTATCCATCATTGAAGGTGACCAAAATGCAAACACTGAACCAGAAACCACCAGGACTAACAGGGTAGAAGGTCACATGCTCAGACGTATGGCACAATAATTGCCCGCTCTCAAAATCCAACAGAACCGATCAGGCCACAGCCTACAAAACGCAAAACAATCGTTAGTAGCATGCAGATTGGTAAGACAAGGAGACAACAATAGATCTAGGCTGAAAATGACCTTGCCTTGCTCATTTGTCTCCTTTGACCAAGATTCCCAGCTCCAAATGTCACATGCAGCGAAAAATCATGCAAGAGGAGAGTTAAAGAGAGGTAAAACAAGGGAGGGGGCTGGGAGCGAACGTGCGAGCGAACAACACGAGGAAACAGTGGATCCGTGTAGACCACCTGCACCAGCCCCTGCGGAGGAGCCGCGGCCACTGACGGCGCCCTGCTACAACGCCGATGTCGTGCACACGGCCGTGTCGGGGGCACAGACACCGGGTGAGCTCGAGCCGGTGCGCTCGCACAGGGTGGCGCCACCTACATGGCCGCACGCAGCAGGGATCCGCCGGCGCTGGCAGCCGACGGATGCCGCGGCACCGCATGCCGGGGGTGCGGTCGGCGGAGGCGCGGTGAAACGGCGGTGAGGCGGAGAAGACGCAGGCCCCCCGGCGCGTGGAGACGGCAACGGATCCCGCCTCCGCCGCGAGCTGAGCAAGGCGACAGCGGACGGGCCCCACAGTACGGTGACCGCGGAACCTAGGGTTTGAGCTTGCCCGCGGCCGTCCTGTCGCGGCGGGTCCCGCGCGCCGCGCTGGGGCATGGCCGGGTTGCCTCCACCGCCGCCTCAGCCGGCCGCGCAGAACCCTAGGTCGGCATCGCGGAAGCACCGGGCGCCAGCCACCCAGGCCGATGTGTCGCCCAGGACGGCTGCCGCGAGGGCCGACGCACGGCGCCGCGGTGACCCGCTGCACCGGCGCAGCACCCCGGCAGGTGCCGCCGTCGCCCCGCCCTTGCGGCGCGAGGAGGGAGGGGCGAGGAGGAGGAGGAGGAGGAGGGTGGGCGCCGCCGCGCCGAGGGCCGGCCGCCGCCGAGATCGGCAGGGAGAGGGAGGGAGAGAGGAAGGGACGACGGGGCGGAAGCGGCGGAGGCGCCGGTAGCGTGAGGAAGGGGCGCAGCCTCGGGAGAGACCGAGAGAGGGAGACGAAGGAAGAGTTTTTTTTTTTCGATCTAGGACGAGGAGGGGGAGAGACGGAGATATTTTTGTGGAGGGGGCGGTGCACTGTAGCGGGCGGTGGAGCGAATACGGAGCATCGATCGGGAATCGAACGGCTGAAGGATTTCAGGGTGACGTGGCGCAGCTCTCCAGCGGCCGTGAACCTGCGGTTTGTCGGTTTGTAGGGGTAAATAAATAAATAAATATATATAGAAAATATATAAAGGTCTGCCAGGCTTTTCCCATCTCTGCTCGCCTTGAGCATCTTTATAGCCTATTCGCTTGTTAGTTTCAGCCAGCCCAAATTAGTCAGTTAATAGTATTTTTTTCTCACAAAAAACTAGCACCAGTTAGCCTAAATCAGCACCAGCACCAACCAGCGAACATGCCCTTAAACTACATCGTCCACCTTGCCGTGACCAATGAACGCTGGCTGGTTTAGACACTCAGGCCCTGTTTGGTTGAGCTGTGGCTGTGGGAAAAAGCTGCTGTGGGCTGTGAGCTGTGGAAAAGCTGCTGTGGGCTGTGAGCTGTATAAAAGCTAAAAGCTGTTTGGTTAAACAAGTATAAAATATACCTTTTATCTTTATCTCTCTTGAAACAACTATGGAAGAGCTTTTTATTCCACCAATTTCGAAAAGCAGAAAACCAAAAGCCAAAAGCAGGGTCAACCCAGCTTTCAAAAATAAACTACGGAAAAGCAGCTGCTTCTGGAAAACACTCTCCAAAAACAGCCCCTTTGGTTGGCCTTTTGATTTTTGGGGCCAAAAGCCAAAGCCAAAAGCCCAACCAAACAGGCCTCAGCCATGTAGCAGGTTTGGTCACGTGTAGCACTGTAGCAGACTAGCTTTTTATCGTATTGATGCAACCGAGATCCTTGAAATATTAAGGGGGTGTTTACTTCCCACCCAAAATTTTTTTTGCAGTAAAATCGAATGTTTGATATATGTTTGGAGTATTAAATATAGATAAAAACAAAAATTAATTGTACAGTTTGCTATGAAATTGTGAGATAAATCTTTTAAACCTAATTAGTTCATGATTAGACGTAACTGCTATAGTACCTACATTTACTAATGACGGATTAATTAGACTTAATAAATTCATCTTGCAGTTTACAGATGAGCTATGCAATTAGTTTTTTTATTAATATCCGAAACTCATTCCGACGTCCCACCCCATCAACTAAACACCCCCGGCTACCCGGCTTGCTGCCGATTCGCCCCTGACAAAATATCAGACTAGTGATAATGGCTAGCTTCAAATGCCGATGCTGCAGGAATTTTGACCTTACGCTGCGCCAGAAGCGACATCTATATCTATATATACAAATACACACATCTTTATGGATCAGGGACTACTCTTTTTAGCCTAAGACTACGTTTAGTTCACGAAATAAAAATTTTTGATATCACATTGAATGTTTTGAAACATCGGAAGAGGTTTTCGATACTAATAAAAAAACTAATTACATAACTCGTCTGAAAACTACGAGACGAATTTATTAAACCTAATTGATTCGTCATTAGCGCATGTTGGTACTGTAGCACTTAAGGCTAATTATGGACTAATTAAGCTTAAAACATTCGTCTCGTAATTTCCAACCAAACTGTGCAATTAGTTTTTTTTTTATCTATATTTAATGCTCTATGCATGTGCCGTAAAATTTGATGTGATAATTTGAGATGAAAATTTTAGGTAACTAAACGCAGCCTAAATATGCGTCAGCTTTTGGAGGTGCCATAAACGCCATTATCCACGAGTGGTATTTGTGATTATATAACTATCTTAAATCAAGTCTTCTTTTTTTGGAAGATTTATTTAAATCAAGTTTTCTTCGAATCTAGAATCAAGTCACGGACGTCGATTTAGGGTTTCAACGCGATAAAAAACTGGTCTGCTACACGTGACGAAACCCTAAATGTCTCTGAGTTCTGACAGGAGGTAAAATATTACCTGTTTCTGTGTCAAACTCATGGAAGAGGAAATGCAAACAAAGAGGGAAGAGGAGATCAGGCCTGGAACGAGCCCGCCGTTGCGGCAGGGTGCAGGCGACGGGAAGGCTAGATTCTCCGCCATGGCCATGGTTGCTGTTGTCCACAGTTCAATTAGTGATTTGTTCGCGTTCGATTTGTCGAATATTAGCCGATTTATGTCTATCTGTGGTCGATTAGTTTCGATTTTTGTTCTGTTAGTGGTCGAATTGGGGAACGGTGGATTTATCGGTCATTTTGGGATTTCCTGTAGGTTGTTTGATTGATTCTCGATCTGTAGTAGCTACTGGGTGGCGTTGGTAGTTGTGGCTCTAGTTATGGTACTGATAGTGGTAGCAGTAGTGGTTGGATGTTGGAACTGGATGGATGACCTGTGTTTAGTTGGGTTGTGGTAAGAATTGTGGTGAACTGGTGATGCTTTTGGAATTACTGTTTATGGATCCAGAATAGTCGTGGTGCTTGTTAGCAGTGCTTTTGGAATTACTAGTAAGAATTGTGGTGAACTGGCATCACTTGTTTTGTAGAAGTTTGATAATATGGAAGAAGCTCTCATCTATGGACTGTGGCATGGACATTGCTGTTCTGCTATTCTGGTGCTTCAAATTCTGAAATCAATGGTAAAATTTAATTGATATTTTACAATTTTCTGATGATGTTTCAGAGGAACATAACTGTAGTAAAGATATGCTAACTGAATACCTTTTTTCACCTTGTTCTATCACAGGATCATGTTCCACCAGCCTATTTGTTGGGTACTCTTCTGAATGTCAGCTTCATGGACGTGAAGCTACCAGCATCTTTGTTGGAGACTTTTCTGGATGTCAGCTTCATGGACATGAAGCTTCTCCTTTTGTTTCCATCTTCCATGGGCCATGGCTCACAAACTGCCCTTACAAAATGATACAGATTGCAAGGTATTCATCCTGTTCAGTTCGACCTTTAGCATTGATGTCCACTGTTGTCTTAAAATCTTTGCAGAATGCAGAGATGTATTGTCTTCCACTTTGATGTTCTTTTGTCAGCTAGTTGGTTATTTTGGGATTTCCTGTAGATTGTTTGATTGATTCTTGATCTGGGGATTTGCGGCAGGTCTTTGTTCGATCCGAGGTCTTTAGATGTTCGAGTGAGGTATATGGGGGCTGGATTTAGGGATTGATGTATGTTTGGGATTCGATTTGGAGATTCCTTGAACATGTGTTCTCTTTTGTCCTCCAATGTGATATATCAGTTTACCATTGTTTGTCCGATTATGCTAGCTCTTACTGATTTCCATTGCCTCACCTGTTAGGGCTGTAGAATATCTTATCGAATTTGTACGAGAGTTAATATTATCATTTCTTGATGTAACACCTTTTTTAAAAAATTCTAAGGATAAGTTTTGCCTCATTGTTAGTAGCTCTTTCGTATACAGCCAAAAGACTCCAGTTTCTTCCCTCCTCCCCTTCTGTAAATTGCATGGAATTGGTGTGGACCAGTGATATAGGGAAGGTTGTTCTTTGCTAATAATAAGAAAGTAATGTGGCACTCTTATCTGACAGGGGAACCTCATGGAGGTATGAAGCCATAACATAACCAGGGGAACAAAGAGTTATTTTTCATCATCTGGGTGCAGATTCACTATTGCTGTGATGGGTTAAAGCCACGAACCTGTCTTGGGAGCTGAATGGGGGAAGAAATGGAGAATCTGAGAGGTGAGGGAAGTTCAGATCGAGCAGCAGGATCACTGTCAATCCGCTAATATAAATGTTTTGTAATTTTTTCTGTTATTATCAATTTTGCGTAGCTCTTATCAATGAGTTTGTTTAATTAGAACCGTGTTAGTCCCTGTTTCTTTAGGTTCTAAGTCCTAGATTTTGGTGCTGTGTTGATTGGGGATAGAGCTTGTCTTAAGGACAATAGAGAGCATATGCCGTTCTTTCGTATATAACTTCACAAGAAATTCCTTACTAGGAAATTGAGTCCCTCATTTATTCATGGCCTAATTTGTTTGTCTTGTATAGGCTGTGCTGGTGTTGATGTTTTACCTACATTTTTTTAATTCAAAGCCCTGTTGTGTTATGTATCACATTTGTTTTAGATGGCTATCACAAGTTATGTATCCCCTTTAGCCGTATTGATATCCCCTTTAGCTGTAGCTGCGTAGTAATTGCATATTGAAACTAGTTGTAGCCAGGACTAATAATGGTTGCAACTGGGAACCAACCTGAGCTATAACTATTGTATACCAGAAACATTAGAATTGCATCTGCTTTGTATCCCTAATTGTAACTCTGTGTTAATCGGACTTGCAACTGGAGGTCATTGAGTTTGTAAGTACTTCATCTGCAGCTAGTCGTAGCTGAGAGTAACTGCATATTGCACTATATTCCTAATCGTAACTACTTGTAGATGAGACCAATCCTGGTTGGAACCCTGGGAACCAGCTTGAGGTATAACTATTTTATAATAGAAACATGAGAACTGCAACTGCTATATTTTTCTAATTGTAACTGTGTATTAATCAGACTTGCAATTGGCTATAATTGAGTAATTACTTTAGTTGCATATAGTTTAGTTGAGTAGTAATTGCAAATTGCAACTAGCTGTAACTGAGACTAATTATGTAGAGGCAGACGGATAGGGCCGCTGACCCTTTTGAAGCAAGGGAGATATATTTTATTGTATCAATCAGTTTACCACTTTTCATTTTAAAAATGTATCTGGACTTTTAAATGTCACATGTTAGAAGTTTAGTAACACTGGTATATAACTAATTTTACTATATTAGAATTTGTGTAATTTTCGAATTAGGGTTGGTGTAATTTTTTTCTTGTAGATAGAACTAGTTCACCTTGAAACTTTGTATGTGTGTTTTATCTATTAAAAATAGGTCTTCTTTGAGATATTTTTTTCATTTGAATATTAGTTGTATATTTTCAAATGAAGATGGTTAATACCATATGTATGTGCTAGTTTCAGAATTGCTGTTTACTTAACAATCATTGGGTTTTTCCTCTGATCAAAGAATAACTTCAGCTGATGTTCTGTAGGTACAACTGCATGCTGATGAATTGATCAATGGGTAAGGGCTAAGGAGCCTATTATTAAGATTCTCATACTGCAATTACTAGATCTTAGATTCACTGGTGTTTACACTAATATACTTTATTGCTTGTTTATCAGGATCTCTCTCTCTCTCTCTCTCTCTCTCTCTCTCTCTCTCTCTGTCTCGTGTGTGTCTCTTCTTTAGGGTTTATCTATCCCCTTACCCGCATCTTTTTGGATTTTGCTTCTCAATTTGATCGACGCACGTGTCCCATTATTGTACTGAACTGTGTCGTTTTCATTTCTATGTTTTTTTCTGATGGTGGATTTGGTGGCCGGACTAGGGATTGTTTTTGTGCGCTGTGGTCTCCCTGTTTGTGGATGTTAGTTTCTGGGATTTAATTTTTCTAGACAACTTTGATGAGAGATGAGGCTGGGTGGGGGCAAGGAGCGACTCTTGGATGGAAGGTCTGTTTTAATTTCATACTTGTTTATGTTTGAATCGTTTGAGTTTTTTATGTGCATTTTCCGATGGTGGATTCTGGGGCTGTGACCTGGGGGTTGGCAGGTTCGAGGGGAGGGGGGTGGGGTCTGGCAGCGGCGTAGCAGTCTCCTTGGTTATGTTTATTTGCAGCAGAATTATTTTTGTGCAGCTTGATTCATCCTGAAAGCTTGGTGAACATGTGATGTGGGGTGGGTGAAGGGAGTACGCTTTGTGTCTATGTTAATGAAGGGATTGGACAGACAGATCTTTTGGCCCCTTGTATGTTGTTTCCCATTGATGTTTGTGCTGTAAGTTAGATTATTTATTTCTTTAGTTCAGTAATCTTCATTTTCTAGTTTCAAGTATGATCTGTGTCAGTAAGCCATGATAGTCGAGGTAGCCCATATGTCACTTCCAGTTCTCCATATGTTATATTAGATAAATAGGTGTTATGTTGGACATTAACAAACAAATTTAGTCCTATTACCTATCAGTAGAGTTTTGCTAGTATAATTGCCTTACAGAACTAAAATTTTACCATAAAAGCATCCGATCCTGAAGTAATGAAGAAATCTAGTTCTATCAGTGATACATTGACATGAGTTGGTAATGCTTATGCTGATTATTCTTGTGTGATGCGTTTAGGGTAAAGCTCAAAACATTTGCCGTATATGAAATCTATATTTGGGATGAAGCTGTTGATTTTTATTTTCTCCCAGAATGCATATGCTACATTTCGCACAATGTGAGTCCCTTTCTGACCAAGTTCTGGTCCTTTTTCTTATTTTTTCTCATTCTAAAAAAACAAAGGGAGATGTGCTAGTCTGACCAAGCTCTTGAGGTGTTAGTTTTAGATATACGTTATCCCCCTATGGTTTGCAATTCATCTTTTGTTGGAGGTTTGATCCTGTAAAGGAGTGGTAAAGTTGTTAAAAAATGAGGCACATCTTTTTTAGTTGTTTCATTCAGTTTTGGCTTTTTAGTGCTTCCAGTCATGGCCTCTTGTGTGTTTATTTGTTAGCTATTTTTTTCCAAGTTGCGATTGCACCATAGAAATTCTTGTAACTATCTATTAGTGTCCTATGTAATCTTGTGGTGTGCGGGAACGTATAATTTGGTTTGGTCGGTGAGGAGTTCATTGGCTAGCTTATATGGGAAGCCTGCAACTATTTATATAAGCTAGCTGCAACTAGAATGCAACTGGTTGCATCAATTATAAGCTGTATTTTTTTTAAATGGCTATAGAATGTGGAATTTTGTAGTTAGTATGTGTTCCTAGTTGTAATTACTCTATATCCCAAATTGTAACTGAGTATGAAATGGACTAGCAATTGTCTGTAATTGAGTTTGCAATTACTTTAGCTGTGCCTAGTTGTAGCTGAGTAGTAATTTCATATCATGACTAGTAGTTGTCTAACCCTAGGTGCTGTTAGAAGTGAATGTAAATGAACAAGTGATCGGAAGAACTGTCTGTTTCATTGATCTGTTGAATGATTATATATATATATGAAGGGGTGTGTTGAAAGGACACAACCGTTCACCAAATCTCACGTCTAAAGGACGTGCCCCTTTGGTGACATGGTTAACTGTCTAATCTTATCACTAACTGCACCTATTACTAACTGCACGTGTGGATGAGATCACCATGGGAAGGGGTGTCTGTTGGGAATAGACACCGTTTCACAACACTCCCCCTTATCGAATCTTTCTTGAGATCAATGTAGCTGCAAGTTGGAATTCCTCGAAAAATCCCACGGAAAAAATCCGAGGAATATATGGATATGCCATAAAAACTCCTTTAAAACCTTATTGGAAAATAAGAAGAAAATAACATATTGTGTGTGATTTAAATAAACCACTATGTCATTGGTATCTCATTAAAAACCCCAGTGGGGAAAAAATATTGGAGATACGACATAAAGATAACACCCCAAAAACCTTTTAGGAAAAATGTGAGGAGCAATATAAAGTGATATGCCGCTAAAACTCCTGTAAAAATCCAGTGGAAAAATTAGGAGAAAATGTGTTGATATATTATTGTTATTGCCTCTTGGATAACTCACGTTAAAAAACATTTTCAGGAAAAAACCATGGATGAGTTGTGTAGGCAATATGTGTCTTTGATATTTCTCACAAAACCCCAATGGGAAAAATAGAAAATATGACACATGCTTATGTTAATATTACCTCATTAAAAACTTTAACAAGAAACCTTGCGAGTAAAACTTGTGAAAGAAAAAAGTGTAATATGATACTAGTACATGTCAGCATTTAGGGGATGTCTTCCCCTGATTCTTGCAAATTTCGAAGTCGTTGCATACCAATTTCATGTACAAATTTTTGAAACATAGATGTTGGTAAGGACTTAGTAAATAGGTTAGCGAGATTATCAC